CAATGACGTCTTGTTGGACATGAGCTGTACCTAGCTAATAAATTTACAGAAAATGCAATATCTGGTCTAGTATTATTAGCTAAATACATTAAAGCTCCAATAGCACTCAGATATGGTACTTCGGGACCGAGTATTTCTTCGTCGTCTTCTCGGGGACGGAATGGATCATCGTGTATGTTGAGAGATCGAATGACCATTGGTGAAGTCAAAGGATGAGCTTTGTCCATATAGAATCTCTTCAACACTTTCTCGGTGTAATTGGATTGGTGGATGAAAATTCCATTCTTCAAATGCTCAATTTGAAGTCCGAGACAAAATTTGGTTCTCCCGAGATCTTTCATTTCAAATTCTTTCATAAGATATTTTGCAGTATTTTCAATTTCATCGGGAGTTCCAATAATGTTTAAGTCATCAACATATACTGCAATTATGGCGAATCCCGAATTTGATCGCCGAATGAAAACACATGGACTAATCGGATCATTATTATATCCTTCTTTGAGAAGGTATTCACTGAGACGATTATACCACATTCGTCCAGATTGTTTTAGTCCATACAATGACTTTTGTAATTTAATGGAAAACATGTCTCGAGGTTTCGAGCTATAAGCTTCAGGCATTTTAAATCCACCGGGAACTTTCATATAAATGTCTGTATCAAGTGAACCGTATAAATATGCGGTCACTACATCCATTAGGCGCATTTGCAGCCTTTCAAAAACAGACATGCCAATGAGAAACCTTAATGTAGTTGCATCAACTACTGGAGAATAGGTTTCTTCATAATCGATTCCCGGCATTTGAGAAAAACCTTGGGCAACAAGTCGGGCTTTATATCTAACAATTTCATTTTTCTCATTGCGCTTACGCACAAATACCCATTTAAAACCCACAGGTTTTACGCCTTTTGGCGTAGGGACTATTGGTCCAAAAACATCACGTTTTTCAAGTGATTTTAATTCAGCCTGAATAGCTTCATTCCATTTTGGCCAATCGTGTCGTTTCCGACATTCTTCTATTGATGTTGGCTCATTGTCATTGTTTTCATTCATAACATTTGTGGCAACGGCATAGACAAATATCTCATTAATATCAATATCTTTTCGATTCCATTGCATTCCAGTAGAAACGTAATTTATTGAAATTTCATAATTATCAACGTTTCTATCAGTATCTGGAATATCTTCCTCATTTAAGGAAGTTGAATCATTATTTGAGATGTTTGTTTTGTCAATATCATTTTCTATGCCAGTATTTTCAAATTGTTCATTTTCTTGTTCAGAAGGATGAACATCTTTGGCATCACAGATCAATTCCTGCCTTTTAGTCTTTCTTGGTTTTATGTCTTTTGATCCAAGTGGCCTGCCACGCTTTTTGCGTATAGAAGAATCATTTGCGAGAGATTTTTCAGAATTCTCCGCTGGAATTTCAATTCTGGCAGGGGCATTCATAGCAGGAATATGTGACTTTGTCACTTTCTTTGTGTCTGTGAATGCATCAGGCAACTGATTTGCAACATTTTGTAAATGGATTATCTTTTGCACCTCTTGCTCACATATATTTGATCTAGAATCAAGGTGTGATAATCCTGTTGCATTCCATGTTATTTCTTTCGTACTTGGGTCCGATTTATTAGTTTCTCCCCCTAAGGTTGGGAATACTGTCTCATTGAAATGACAGTCAGCGAACCGTGCGGTGAATAAGTCACCAGTCATTGGTTCGAGATATTTGATTATCGAGGGAGATTCTAATCCAACATAAATTCCCAACCTTCTTTGAGGACCCATTTTTGTACGATGAGGTGGAGCAATCGGAACATAAACAGCACAACCAAATATTTTTATGTGTGCTAAGTTTGGCTCTTGTCCAGTAACTAATTGCATTGGGGAATATTCATGATATGCAGTCGGTCTAAGCCGAATTAAATTTGCTGCATGCAAAATAGCATGTCCCCAAGCTGATGAAGGTAAATTACACTTCATTAATAATGGTCTAGCGATTAATTGTAATCGTTTAATCAAAGATTCAGCAAGACCATTTTGTGTATGGACATGAGCAACAGGGTGCTCCACATCAATCCCAATCGACATACAATAGTCGTTAAATGATTGGGAAGTAAATTCTCCTGCATTATCAAGTCGGATTCTCTTTATAGAATGATCCGGAAAATGAGCTCTTAATCGTATAATTTGAGCAAGGAGTTTGGCGAATGCTAAATTTCTAGTCGATAAAAGACTAACATGTGACCAACGTGTTGAAGCATCAATCAACACCATAAAATATCGAAATGGTCCACATGGCGGGGCTATCGGCCCACAAATATCTCCTTGAATCCGTTCTAAAAATGCAGGTGATTCAGTTGCAATTTTGTTCATAGAAGGCCTGATGATCATTTTGCCAAGAGAACGGGCCTTACAAGGAAAATCACTTGATAATGGAACCCTGATATTCTTTAATGGGTGTCCAAGTGAAGTCTTAATGATTTTATGCATCATTACTTGGCCTGGGTGACCTAAACGGTCATGCCACAACATGAATGTTTTCTGATCATCTAACTTTGCGTTAGAAACCAAATTTATTTCGAATGGACTAATATAAGTGAAATATAGTCCTGAGGAATAAGCTGACATTTTTTCACAAATATGTTTAGTGCCAGATTTAGTTGTCGTAAGACAAAGATATTCCTTTTGGTTTTCATTCATGGTTTCTATGTGATAACCATTTTGACGCATATCTTTAAAGCTTAATAAATTTCTCCGCGATTTGGTGGAGTATAGAGCGTCATTTATAATTATTTTTGTCCCGTTAGGGAGCATCACATATGCTTTCCCAGAGCCTTCAATGAGCTTCGCAACACCTGATATTGTATTGACTTTAGCTTCAACTAAAGTCATTTGAGAAAAATATATTTTATTTCTCAAAATGGTGTGCGTTGTGGCGCTGTCTATCAGACATAGCTCTTTATCATTTGAGTGATCCATATCTTCAATATATAAATAAGCATAAGTTTGATATGCAAGTAACATGAATTATGCATCATATATAACATTAGAGTACATATATTACATCATTATTTATGAAAACAACATAAAGGTAACCTAAAGAAAAAGTACACGATAACATAAACTACTATTTTACAATATGTAAAAGTCTTATAATTTATTTTGTGTTATTTTGATTAGTGGCAAATGCATCATCCATTATGCTATCATCCATGAAGAAGTCGGACACATCAAATTTTGGCAGAGATGGAGTTGTGTCATTGACATAATTCGCTTCCACATTTTTGCCTTTGTTTAAATTCATGGAAGCTTGAAATAACTCCACAAGATGCTTTGCAGTACGGCATTTGTTAGCCCAGTGTCCCGTCATGCCACATTTGTAACAAGTCGTCTTCTCCGAGGGTTTTGTAGGGCGATTTGTTTGATGGGCCTTTTGTTTGCCCTTGCCCTTGTAATTTGGTCTTTCGACCCGTTTATATCCTCGGTGGGACTTGTTATTATGACCATTAAAATGCCCACGTTTAAAATGCCTTCTACTGCCACTGTGTGTTGCATTTGTTTCAGTGGCTAAATTATGGCCAGATGGACCATAAACTGAAGGACTAGAACCAGTGGGTCTCAGATTATGATTTTTCATCAAAAGGTCATTATTTTGCTCAGCGACCAATAAAACTGATATAAGGTCAGAGTATTTCTTAAAACCCTTTTCTCTGTATTGCTGCTGTAGCAGCATATTAGAAATGTGCATTGTAGAAAAGGTTTTCTCCAACATATCAGCATCAGTGACTTTTTGCCCACATAACTTTAGTTTGGATGTTATTTGGAACATAACAGAATTATAGTCACTGATAGATTTAAAGTTCTGAAATCTTAGATTAATCCAGTCATATTAAGCTTTAGGCAAAAGGACCTTTTGCTGGTGGCCATACCTCTCCTGTAAATTGTCCCATAATTCTTTTGGGTCATCAACCAAAAGATATTCAGATTTGAGACTTTCATGGAGATGGTGACGGAGAAAAATAATAGCTTTCGCTTTGTCTTGGGCAGATGACGGCTTATTTGCCTCAATAGTGTCTTCAAGACCATTAGCCTTCAAATGTGCTAAAGCATCAACTTTCCATTCCAGGTATTTTTGTCCAGACAGATCAAGAACATCGAATTCTCTTTTGCTTATATTTGCCATAGTACTACAAATTATTGGTTTTAAAATTAATTAGTAAAATTGTGAATAAGAACAGTATTTGTTCCGTAAAAGCTAATAAATGTATTAATTCATATCGATTAAATTGATTCATGTTTTAATTTAGAAATTGGAGTAATACGGAGTAACTTTTATTCTATTTGTTTAAATATAGATGAATCTGTAAGACAAAGGCATTTGTAATCATATACTCGTACTCCATACTATCATGATACGTATTATTAGTCTTCGAAGTATTACCCTTTTAATCAACTTTATGCATTCATTTGGATCAAAATAACTAGGTGTTAATCCAAAGTTAGTTAATTACATATACATAATTCTTTACTGGTTCGTATCATTTAAGAGTAACAAAGATACAAGCTTAAGTTTATGTGCACTGTATTGATACTAAACCATTAATTTACACAGTATATACCAACGTTCGCATAGACCATGATAAGTTGTGGTCATTTACTAATCTATCATTATTTTAACAAAAACGGTTTTGGTGCTAAGTGCTAACATACAAAACACCGAACGATTTTTATTTTCCAAAAATTTAAGTGGAAAGCATGATAATGATAAGGATAAAATAAACTGATATAGTGTGAATAATTTTGTCTGGTATGTACTACGTATCAAAGACCCGTGAACTCTCCAGCTAGCCTAATCTAGTTGCTATGTTTCTCTCGTGACTACGGTTGTCAACTTGTCATTAATTTTCCTTGTTTGTTTTATGCATGCCAACTGACTCATACTTCATATACGTAGTATTAATATAAAGTGTGCTACCACGTATTTTATTTGCCCATACAATTTTGAATGTTCTAGGCCCATACAATCTACTTGAGGTTATAATTTATTTATCCACTATCTCTCACCGTTTCATCTCATTTATATACTCTGTATGTCTAAAAGAATAGACTTCTAGTTTGTTTCTAATCCATTCATTGTCTACTCCATTTCTTCCATACTCCGTACTTGCTAAAAATTTATAGGAACCAGTATTGTGTTTCTAAAACTCTCCTCATATCATATCATTTTTTCCTTCTCCTTTATTAGTTATCCACTGTATTCTTCAAAGAATAACTAATAAGTGATGTACTCATGATTATGGTGCTTTTATTTTATCAGAAGAAATCAATCATGCAAAGGTATGTTATCTGTGTACATTTTCTATTCGAATATGATAGAAGATTTTATTTGAAACTCAGAATAATTTTCTGATTTGAATATTAAAAGAAGATAACATATATTGATATTAATACCTGCAGGAGATGATGATTTCTTGAAGATTTTTGAGCAGATTCGTGCTGATAACGTGTTGTGAAATGAAGAAGATGCAGAATAGATTAAAGAGATAGATATATTGATAATAACTTCTAAATAACTTCTTCTTAATCTAACTGAGAGTTTCTTAGTTTCTGAATTTCTGAATGAATTTACAAGGGTTTGATCAAGCCCTATTTATACTAGTTGGGCTTGGTGATGAATCATCAGGGAGAATTTCTACACATTCTGCTGGCAATATTAAACCTAAACATCTGTCCTATTACAAGGATGAGAATTTGATTAGTGTCCTGATTACAAGGATGGACATTCACACATGTCATTTTGATGATTTTACAACAGAATACACTTTATTACTACCTAACACATTAGTTTGAATCCTAATCCTAGCCGTTCCTTAGACCTACGCGGATCACAATCGGGTGGATCTCTCGCTCCCCTTCTTTAATGCCCACCCTCCAGTCGGAACTGCCAAATCCGACTGGACTATTTTTTTTTTATTTTCTCCCGCTTATAAATATAGCTGCTATCAACCTTATATTTTTATTACACTTAAGTTTTATATATAATCATTAGTATATCATTCCTCAATCTATCAAGCTATCCAACCTTTGAGATCAGCCTTCTCAGGTTAGTAAATTTTCAATTGTATGAGTATAGAAGTAATTAATTTTGTAAGTTGTGAATTTTTAATTTAGATTGTGATATTGAACTTTTAGAGTAAAATTTAGCAAGTGTAGAAGTACTTAATTTAGTAATTTGTGAATTTTTAATTTAGATTGTTAAATTGGACTTTTAGAGTGAAATTTATCTATAAAATACTTGAAACTTAGAAAGTGTGCTAAATTTAGAATTGTTAGTTAATTTTCGGTTTTAGGAGTGTAGAAGTACTTAATTTAGTAATTTGTGAATTTTTAATTTAGATTGTTAAATTGGACTTTTAGAGTGAAATTTATCTATAAAATACTTGTAACTTAGAAAGTGTGCTAAATTTAGAATTGTTAGTTAATTTTCGGTTTTAGGAGTGTAGAAGTACTTAATTTAGTAATTTGTGGATTTTTAATTTAGATTGTTAAATTGGACTTTTAGAGTGAAATTTATCTATAAAATACTTGAAACTTAGAAAGTGTGCTAAATTTGGAATTGTTAGTTAATTTTCGGTTTTAGGAGTGTAGAAGTACTTAATTTAGTAATTTGTGAATTTTTAATTTAGATTGTTAAATTGGACTTTTAGAGTGAAATTTATCTATAAAATACTTGAAACTTAGAAAGTGTGCTAAATTTAGAATTGTTAGTTAATTTTCGGTTTTAGGAGTGTAGAAGTACTTAATTTAGTAATTTGTGAATTTTTAATTTAGATTGTTAAATTGGACTTTTAGAGTGAAATTTATCTATAAAATACTTGAAACTTAGAAAGTGTGCTAAATTTAGAATTGTTAGTTAATTTTCGGTTTTAGGAGTGTAGAAGTACTTAATTTAGTAATTTGTGGATTTTTAATTTAGATTGTTAAATTGGACTTTTAGAGTGAAATTTAGCTATAAAATACTTGAAACTTAGAAAGTGTGCTAAATTTAGAATTGTTAGTTAATTTTCGGTTTTAGGAGTGTAGAAGTACTTAATTTAGTAATTTGTGAATTTTTAATTTAGATTGTTAAATTGGACTTTTAGAGTGAAATTTAGCTGTAAAATACTTGAAACTTAGAAAGTGTGCTAAATTTAGAATTGTTAGTTAATTTTCGGTTTTAGGAGTGTAGAAGTACTTAATTTAGTAATTTGTGAATTTTTAATTTAGATTGTTAAATTGGACTTTTAGAGTGAAATTTATCTATAAAATACTTGAAACTTAGAAAGTGTGCTAAATTTAGAATTGTTAGTTAATTTTCGGTTTTAGGAGTGTAGAAGTACTTAATTTAGTAATTTGTGAATTTTTAATTTAGATTGTTAAATTGGACTTTTAGAGTGAAATTTATCTATAAAATACTTGAAACTTAGAAAGTGTGCTAAATTTAGAATTGTTAGTTAATTTTCGGTTTTAGGAGTGTAGAAGTACTTAATTTAGTAATTTGTGGATTTTTAATTTAGATTGTTAAATTGGACTTTTAGAGTGAAATTTAGCTATAAAATACTTGAAACTTAGAAAGTGTGCTAAATTTAGAATTGTTAGTTAATTTTCGGTTTTAACTTCATATCGCTAAACAACAAATGTAGGTGGATCGTCCCCAAATCATTTAAGGGATCCCCGAGACATTGCATACGCTTGTACCGGGATAACCTAGACCGCATGAGTGAGAGTCAGGTAGTACTAGAAATTTTTACTTCAACTGCACTATTTAATTTTCAATACACATTGTTTTATAGTTCTTAAATTGTAAATTAAACTTTTTACAGTTTGATTTCATTCCCTACGCATTCGAGACACTTCCACCTCTCATCCTTAATGAAGCTCCGCTTTGGTCGGCTAGGGTTAAGCTCATATTTTGCAATATGGCCGAAATGCATTACCCCGATCGATTTCTTCGGCAGTTCCATATAAGGCAAGATATTCCGGATGCTCCTTTGATAGGTACTGATAATCACGGAAATTGTTCCAACATAGTAACCGGTGCCTTGGCGATGTGGGCGAACATACAAGATCACATATATTTTCTTGATTATGGTCAACTTATGTTCGTCGAAGCAACTAATAGGTACCGAAAATGGTACAACAAGCATGGTATGACACGTGTCCAGAACCCTTCTCACAATGTGCCCACGACAGGCTACACCCCGACATCACACGATTGGGGTATTGTGGTAAGTTTTTGAATACATACCATATTCATTAACATATATCGTGTCATATTGTTTACATGTTAAAATTTTTTATGTAGAAACAAGGTGTTCACGAGATGTATCAGCTCATAGCCGATCGCGCGAGTTATGAGGACTTACACAAACGACTACAGCAGATGGCCCTGGACGTAGGTGATGAACAGATGCTCCACCGGGGCATATTCCATTATGAAGATGAAGATGAAGGTGGAAGTGACGAAGAGGATGATGCAGATGAACATGAAGGTGGGGGTGAGGACTCACCATCGCTCCCTCAATTCTCAACACATGGTGTCTCATTTGATCAACCACCCCCTAATTTCTCGACGCATCAAGGTGTCATATTTGATCAACCACCGCCGTATTATGATTCTTATCAGTTCTCTACGCAACCGGATGATTTTGTTGAGTCGTTTTTGAGTTCGTCATTTTACTATGGAGACCCAAACAGGCCTTGGAACACTGGCGGTGGGGACGGAGCAGGGCCGAGCGCACAACGTTAGCTGAAGTATTAAATTTAATATTATATGTACTGTCTATTCATTAATAAATTACATTGAAAAGTACATTCGTTTTGTTCACTTCCATTGAAATTACTAAAATTGCACTTAAAACACCATCGTAGTAGTACCTAATTTGAAGAATGAATTAAATCAAAATTACACTTCAAATTACTAAAATTGCAATTAAAACAAAATTCACAATACAGATGGATTAAAAAACAATATAAAGCAATCAAATGTTTTGTTACTCAAAAAATAAATGTGCTAAGTTTTCATTTTTAAAAATATCTAAAGAATCTAGAAAAAACTGTTTAAAACTAGTTTTTAAAACTCAAAATAAAAAAAAAATACTTAAAACGGACGTGCCCCACTCAAAATAAAAAAACCGCAAAAAAAAAAAAAATATATATATATAGCTATATATATGAATTTACTACTCATAGATGAATATATATATATATATATATATATATATATATATATATATATATATATATATATAGTACATCTTCATCTTCATTGTGGTCTGTGGGAGACCCGGTCACCCAGAGCTACAGTTGCTTCAACGGTCTCCTCTCTCCGATCCTTTACATATTGTCTGGTGAGGAAGGTCTTCGCAGCATGTATGTTTCCAGAATAGCTAGAGATGCCCTTTAAATAGACGGACACATGTATATATACTTTGCTTCAAATGAGTATCAATTTATTAAAAATCAAAACAATCCATTGATAAACGGGAAAAGGTTGCTTTCTCCAATGAATTGCCGGATAGTTGTTTAGAGTGAAGCATTTATTTCAGATTTTCAGCATGTTGGGAATACTAAAAGACACCTCATCAATCCATTATTTTCCCCAAGCGCTTTTCACACTTCCCGTTCATACTCGATCTTGCTGCCATTTACGGATCGGAGTATTTATTAAACACGACCTGCAATAGTTTTTTCAGCATTTGACCGGCCAAACTCCTACAGTATTCCCGCCCAATGTTGCTGAAACTATTCCGTTTTTATATATATATAGATGTCAACTTGGCATAGTAAACATCACAAACTAACCGCCTAAATGATATTTGACATAGACAATAGTAATATTGTAACATATGTGTCTTGTCCGGTAATATACAAAAACGGAGCAAGAATTTTTAAAACTTCATAAGTTAAATCGAGTGTAAATTTTAAACCTTAGGCAATGATCAAATCTTATTTGAAAAAGTCATATTTTCATCCATCGTACTAAGGGCTTTTGTGAATTCTAAACGAATTCGGAGTGAAATCTTAAAAGGGTCCTAGTGAGATAATACTTATAACAATACTGTGTGTTCACAAATATTTCTTATCAAAAGCTATGATTTCATATGTTTATCTAGGATGAAAATAAAGCTCTAACGTATGACACGGTATATGAGTGTCATATAAGAAATATGGGAATATTAATCTTAATATTGTTAGGTGATAAGGGTTTCAAAATAACTTAAAATTTCACTCCGAATTCGTTTAGTAAATGTTATAGACAAAAAGTGTAAACACAGATCTATGTTACTTATTTTCAGGCCTAAACTATGAAAATAAGATATAGGTTATTGGGAACTAAGTTTATATCGAGATAGGCTATATCACGGTTGGTAACTATAGCTTTATTTTCCATTTACTCAACAAAAAGACTTCATAGCGATTTAGCGGGCAATACCATTTCAATGTTCTTATACGTACAAAAGCTATTTCTATCTAATGAAATATGATAGATTCAAACTTTTCCCACTAATGGATAAGAACACATATAAAGAACTTATGGAGCTCCGTGTATATGAACCTAAGTGTCTTACCACCTCATATCTTGTGCCACTCTATATCACGAAATATTTAGATGGAAGTTGAATAACATTCATCACACTATAGAGTTACACCTGAATTTATATAACGGGATTTAGCGTTCTTAGGCCGAACATATAGAATACTTATTAAATACTCATATAGTAAGGCCAATACAAAGCTCTTCAAGGGATGATTGCTCTAAATCTAAATACACGCTATTAAACCAGTGTATACTTTACAAATATATAGCTTTTGTTAGCGCCAAATAAGGAGCTAACAAAGATAATGCCTCAGAGAGATCTAATATGATCCGATCTATGATCCTATATCATGTAACGACTTAGGAGGATATCAATTCTTATTTTGTACGGTTGCAATGGGGGACGTTTAGTGAATAGAGCACTTTGGTTGTGTGTTTTTAGATGATAATCCTTTGATTTTAAATGAGTACTTATCAGGGTCTGAAATATTTGTGAATTTATGGTATCTTGCCTATTTATTCCAAACGATCCCTGGGTACTAATCGACGGACCACCTGATTAGTAAAACGGAGTTTATATAACTCAGATTACCAAATAGATGAGCGTTTAGATGTGTCATTGGATAAATTTTTCAATATCTCTACCCAGGTGACACTCATATCTTGTAATAGCGTAATCTTCACAAATATTTCAGATTGCCTAATTTCTGCTTTCTAATCCATAAAGGTTGCTTGTAAAAATAGCTATATAACGAAGATTTAGGGTAATATTGATATCATAAGAGAGGGAAATTACTATAAACGGAAAAATCAGATAAACGTTATGTACAATGACATATATGCCTCATAGAAAATACAGTATGGCTTAAAGATATAATACATTACGTTAGTTCTATCACAAATTCGGCTTCTTTGCGTTTAAGCTTTTACTCATATTAACAATTGATTGATATTATCAAACCTCGTTATTTAGGGTCGTGTTGAAGAGCTCGATAAGATCTTTCCAACGAGATAGAAAACGTCTTCAACCGGACAAAACAGAGCAAGATTAGGCTAAGTATTTGTGACACTCATATCTTGTTGTGTGTTCTTCCATTTAAAACGTATTATATCTCTTTGGAATAATATCCAAAGGTATGGTTCTATCTCGAACTTATATCTTGCCCTAGAGACATATTATTGTACGAAACCATAAATCTTTAAAACGCCAAGTATTTACAAAATCTTATCAAAAAATAAGCTTTTACACTGTTTATATGTGTAACATTGTATATAAGATACTTATATTTTCAGATGCTTATTTAAGGTGATTTGATAATGAGTGCATAAATACAAGGTATGTAATACTGTCACACGGTTTTCCATTTTACTTCATATCTTAAGAGATATTTAACACAGCTCTGTCCTTAAGACATGCATATGGTTCGTACCTTTTAGTTTTAAAAGAGAACTCTATAAGTTTACTTAACCGGGATATAGCCTTTTATAATTCAAAAAATTATAATCCGTGCTATAACAAAAGAATACGTTTTGGAGTAAGATATTGTAAGAGAACCTATGCCATGTTAAATTATAAGTATAATGAAGTAATATCCATAACGAAAGTGATGGCACGGATTAATCAGACAATTGATTACAAAAGTACAATTACAAAGCAATTTGGCGATTAATCTTAACCAAACTCTTTGATTATTAGTACTTGTATTCACACTTATAAAACGTCTGTTATAGGCTTGTATCAAAAATAAATATCTTTGATAGCTACATCCGAGTAATCAACTTCTGGATCCCTAAGATTATTAAATAACTCAAAGAGTTTATTAGGCTCTTAGAAAAGTCCTAAATATATCACTACCATTTCCACTTCACGCTGGATAGCCTATGCATTGTGAGTGTAATAGCCTGTGTATCTTCTTATGGATTATAATTCCGTTGGTAGTGATATAATTCACACAAGGTGTAACCTAAGATCAAAGTTCTACAAGTACAAAACGTTTATGCTCGTGGTTTTCAAAATTATTTTGAAAAGAGAATTTCGAGACTTCCTTATGAAGTTTATGGATTAAGGCTTTCACTTAATGCATTGTAATTGAAGTTGGAACAAAATCTTTAGAATTCAAAATTGTTTTTGATTGCCTAAAATATTTAAAATGGAAGAACACCATTTACTTTGAATTTAGGGTATAATCGAGGTCTATTCGTATAATATATAGAGCATTGTATTTATTTAACTATTCCCTTAAATTCTGGTAACTCACAACGTAAATAGATTTCTTTATGATGCTCGATTCTATAGTTCACAGATATCTTTGATTTGTGTGAATACGATCTTTTACTTATGAATGTGATGAACTTTTGATCTTTCTAAATATTGTGGGTTTAGTATCTTTGTCCTGGAATTTGAACTTAATCATAAATTCACAAATATTTTAGATTTCACTCCGAACTCGTGTATAATTTGATCCGATCTGTGAACTAGCAAGATATACAGTTGGAATATTATAACTTGAGGCTTAACAAAACAGAATAAACAACTTATCCCTAAATTTAGTCGATCTTAGTATATACGCTGAATTTCGAGCTCAAGATATGAGTGCCCCACCAGACCCCACTTATTAAAGCTTTAATATTGCCCAGATGCACTCTAATAAGTTTTGTTATTCCAGGGTGTTGGAACAAAAGCTTTAAAACTCAAAATTGTCTTTCGAAAGAGATATAATACCTTTTAAACGGAAGATGGTGAATTTCTATAGATTTTTACGCTAAGTTTTGTTCACTATCATAAAATCATAGAAATGGAGTTGAATATCTGAAATTCTGAATACATATATGAGTATAACAAAAGCTTTAGTCCAAACTTCGGGCTGAAGTGGATTATTCCCCATTATTTCCAACTCCATTTTAATCATTAATTGATTAAACGTTTATTTCGTCACCATGTTGCATGCCCTAATATCAATATCAAAGATCATCCCTAATCAACAACTTATCGGGCCCAAGTCACCTCTGTCTTAACTTGTTGGAACGAATATTTATGGATAAGATTAATAAACGAGGTATATTACAAGATGTATCATATAGAGCAAGATATAATACATTGTTTTGCCTAGGAATCAGAATTTGAAGTAAGATATATTACCCTTTTAATTAGGACAAGATAATGTATAGAACTATACATTATCAAGGCTTGTGTAGCAGTTGTAATTTGGGTTTCGAAATTACTTTGATCTATACGGAAATATAGATCAGTTTTTCCTGTTTCGTTTTATCTATGCATGTAAATGGGTTTACGATTGATTTGATAAACAGATC